TTTATATCTTTTCAATGATATTTAGAAGTCTAAAGAGATACGACAAATTTGCAGAAAAATGTTTATATTTCTTGGCTAAATTTCCTGTTAAATATGGTAAAACAGAAGCGCGCATTCATCGCATTCATATTTGCGTAAAATATATATATACAAGAAATACAAAAAGAGTAGCGTGATCGTGTCAATGCTAGGTAACATAATATTTTGAGGATCTTCTCTACGTTATCAAAGCTTATTAAATTCGTTAACAGCATAGTATCTCTTTAACTTGTTATTAATCGTACATTTTCAAATTCTTGCGATTATCTGGCGTCGAATGGTGCCGCAATGAGAACGCGTATCGCGCGACATCGCCGTTTAAAGATAGTCGCGTTTCTCATTAATTAAACGTAATCCCCGCACCGTGAACGCCGCCGCGCCGTGAGCGGCAGTCAATCACGTAATCGGCCGCGGCTGTGTCTTCTGTTTTTTCCCGTTTTATTTCTTTTTTCCGCTCGCGTCCGTCGTTTAATCCGCGGAAATTGAACGTGGAAATTGCAGCTCCGGCCACGATGAAATTAGGGGACACATGTCAACTAAATAGCTCGCTCACGTACACACAGAGCGGGAGATTAATCGTCATCTTTCGCTAATGCGTCGTCTGACTAGTGATTAATCCGATGCCGAATGCAAACACGCGATTAATATAATACGCGAGCACACGAATTCACGACGAAAGAAGCACGAACGTTCGCTGCGGATCATCGGTGCGCGTCTGTTCAGCCAGTTTCATATATGCTCATGTATACCATTCTCTAGACGGAAAATTATATGAATTTTAACTTTATACATAACTCCTAAAAGTAAAAATCACATAAATAATTATAATTATAATAGAATATTTTGTATATATCTTGTGATAAAGTTATAATAGCTCTGATTATAACGATTTGAGTCTTATATGTATACGTATAAGGTTAATAATCATCTCATTTTTCATCTAGGAAATAGTACAGCATACGTGGCTCGTCTGTACGACGAGCGCGTTTCGGAAGGTCTTTTGCGTCGGGAAAGGGAATCGAATACGAATTAGATCCGTGAGCAGCAAGAGAGAAACTCTTTCTTTCTTTCTCTCTCTCTTTTTCTCTCTTTCTCTCTCTCTCTCTCTCTTTCTCTCTCTCTATCTTTATTTATCTATCTACTTCTCTCTTCCTCTTTTTCCTTCGATGCTTTGTACGGAGGTGCATCCTGAACGATGCAACGACAATATGTACGGAGGAAATCGCGAACGTTCAGGCACGAACAGCGTGAAGCTTTCCGGCTGGTGATAGATGCGCTTTTAATGCGTCGGGCGAGAAAGAGACGACGAAGTGGCCGGACAATTCAGAAACTACTGTGTTCGCTCGACGCTCTATCGCGCGCGTTGCGTTCACCTCAGTTAAACGAAATGCTCGTTTAACGCCGGTGTTGCCGACGAGATAACGTTTCCTTCGCGCCTGAGTCGAAATTTTGATGTTAGTTTGACGCGCTTAAGAAAAATTTGCGTCTACTTAAGTGGCTTATAAATTAATGAAATTTTTACGATACTGACACATATTAACTCTCTCTCTCTCTCTCTCTCTCTCTCTCTCTCTTTCTCTTGAACCTTTGATTCTACAGATTTAATTTTAATACTACCTTGAATAACCTATTTTCATACTAAAACGGAAAATTAGACATCATCAGGGTCAAAGTAAGAGTAAATTATATTATTAAAATTAAAGTTGAACCAATCTTACTATCTTAGCTATTACTGTGTTGTAGAATTAAAGGTTTAATATAGGACCCAAATATCGACTTGGAACAATTCTCGAGTCGAAATTTTGATGTTACTTTGACACTCCTAAAGATAGTTTGTACCTGCTTGGCTTACACTAGGAAACACTTGTTTTGAGCATATTACACTTGTTAACACGTTAACTTCCATAGAAGTCACCAGTGACTGACATTATAATGTCGTTGCATCTCACTAATAACGTATAAAATATAATTAATTGGATATAGCGTACTAAGTACTGGATCAGTGCAAAAGTTCGTGCCCGATTTGTAAATAAAAGTCAAGCAGTTGTTATTGTAAAAAAACTGCCTTTATTAATCAGTGATGTATTCGCCACCATTTTCGACAATCATTTTCAAACGTTCAACCAATTTGTGGATACCACATTTGAAAAAATCGCGTAGTTTTGCGTCAAAAAACGCGGTAATGTGATTTTCCACAGAATCGAAATTCTTGCCATTTAAATCGTTATGTTATGACTGAAACAAATGATAATCGGAAGGTGCAATGTTCGAAGAATATGATGGATGCAATGAATTGCCCATTTCAACTGTTTTAATTTGTCTAAAGTTATTTTCGAAGTGTGTGGTCTAGCGTTGTCATGGTGGAAGATGACGCCTCTACGATTAACCAAGCTCGGGCGTTTTTCTTGGATTGCTGCATCCAATTTGGTTAGTTGTTGGCAGTACTACTTTGAATCAATCGTTTGGCCAACAGGAAGCAGCTCAAAATATAAAACACCTTGGCAATTCTACTAAACGGACAACAAGATTTTCTTCGGATGCAATTCGGCTTTGGCGACTGAATCTGCCGGTTCATTTATTTCCTTCCAAGTACTCCTGCGTTTGACGTTGGTACACAGAACCTATCGCCAGTCACCAAACGGTCCAAAAAAATTTCTTTTTCCAAGCGTCCGAGCAAAGAAACGGCTGCGGAGATGCGGTCCAACTTGTTCTTTTTTTTTCGGACAGCGAATGCGGTACCCAAGTGTCGAGCTTCAGAATAAGTCCCATCTTCTTTAAACACCAAAACGCGGTTGATCGATCAATGTTCAGGGCCTCAGCAACCTCTTCCGTCGAGATGCGTGCATTGTTTGCTATTAATGCGCGTAGAACGTCGTCATCGATGTCGGAAGGATACCCAGAACGAGATTCGTTTTCGAAGTTAAAATCATCACGACGAAATTTAGCAAACCACTTCTTTACTGTTCGAAGGGCTGGGGCACGGTCCGAATAAACCTCTTGAATATTTTTTGTCGCAACGTCAGTGGTTCCTTTCCGAAACTCGTAAAGCATCACATGTCGAAAATGCAACTTCTTGTCCATCTTCAATGATTTTTCTCACGACTTAAATTCAATCCAACCAAACACTTCTGATGCTCAAATAACACCTATGACTGTTATCTTTCCAACAATATATAATATGCATACATAAACAACAACAGAGTCGCCATGCTACTTCATCAGTTCCATCTATACGAATCGGGCACGAATTTTTGCACTGATCCAATATATAGCCAATAGGGAGCTAATTAATTGAGCTAGAGATTGAACATCGTGAATTTATTTACTGTCTCCGATTCAAACTTTAATTGAATATTGAAATAATCAATGGAAATTAGCGTGGCAATCAACAGGTTAACTTCTCTCTTGAACCTAATTTTATAGATTTAATCTTAATCCTAGCTAACCATATATTTATTTTCGAGTTTTTAATTCGCCACATTTCGGTCCGTGAGACTGTTAAACTTCGTGATTTTCTCTCTAATTAATATTTTTAAACTTGTAATATAGAAAATAGAAGTATGAATAAAATGTTTATATCAGGATAAGAAAATAGTTTTGAATTTAAAATTATTATTATAAGAAAAAGATTGCAAGAAAACGGAAAAAAGAGTATTTTCGAAAAAAATTCTCAAATGGTTTTGTAAATGCGATTTAAGAAAAAATAACGTTCTTTCGTCGTAGTGGACACCTGATATATCAAGAAAAAAGTATGTCGTGTGAAAACTAAAAAACCGAAAAATGTTCAGCGGTCCACAGGAGCGAAATTATAACGAGCTAAAGTTAACATTATCTCGAACAATCTGTTTTAACCCTAAAACAGAAACTTAAGGAGGTTGTAGGACTTAATGTCGTATTTTCAGTGACGTATCAAGAGAGCTATTCATATATTTAATATTTTTTAAGCAAAATTACATTTCTATATTTTTATTTCACTCAGACACTATTAAGACATCCTAAAACGCTTTTTAGACAATAAGATGTCTAAAGGATATTTTGCAGACGTTTTTTTTTTTAGATACAAGTATTGTTTAGATATCNTGTATATATATACACAATGTTATAAATATGAAAATATTTTTTTTTAATTTTCCTTATTAATGCTACATTTATGCATCAGTAGATCTAATAAAGATGCACAGATAATAGAAAAAGATATATAAGTATTTAATATACATATAAATTTTGAATATTATTATAAATTTTAAACTATAAACTTGACATTGATATATTTTCAAAACAAAAGAGTCAATAATTCTGAAATTTGTGATATAATGTATGCATATTAATCTTTAATATTATAATAATTTTTCGTCACAAAATTATTTTTAATTTATAGAAAATATGAAAAATAGAAATAGAAATAGCACTATTTTAAAACGATTCAGGAATGGTTGTCTCAAGATAAGAAGTTAATCTCAAGATACACGTATGAAAAGGGTCGATTTTAATTGCAAATATCTTAGCTCTTGAATGGTCAATATTTTTTTCTAATTGCACGAGTAGTTAAATAATATTTCAATATATACGTGGTGCAAGATCATCAGGTCATACGTCATCAGGGTCAAAGTAGGAGTAAATCATATCATTAGAACTGAAATTGAATTTTTTTGCCATCTCAGTTTTCACTGTATTGTAGAATTAAAGGTTCACCATAGAGCCAAAATTTCGACTCGGGTGTCGCTCCGAAGAATTATAATCCAACCAACCCTACAGCTGTATATCTATAAAACGCCCCAGCCTTCTATTAAAGCTTTGACGAGAGATAGCACGTGCGTATGGGTAAAAAAAAATTAGGGGCGGTATCTCTTATTCAGAGTTCAGTCCGACTTTTACGCGTGATCCGGGAATAGCTCGGCCAGGCGAAATATACGTTCACGCGTGTGCGAGGACGAAAATTGTTCCGTCGAGGACATACTTACGGTCTCCTTGGAATCCACTAAGCGCTGACCGTTTCTCCACCAGGTGACGCCGGCCGCCGGTCTGGAACCGGAAGTTGTGCAGACCAAGTCGTATCTCTTGCCGGCCGACAACGGCTGGTTCGCGCCAATTATCTTCACTTCCAGCGGGCTGACTGAAAATTATTTAATTCGTAGCATGAGTAAAGAGCGCGTCCTATCGCGGTCGCTCGTCGGCGGCCGAGGGATGTATCGTTTCGTCCGATCGCATTAAAATACTCTCTAAATGCAATCAGTATATCATCAGTGAGAAGTAGTCAATAGTTGGAGATCATAATTATAAATTTAGAACTGCAAATGAGTAAAATTCTGCTGATAAAATCTGTCATTAACAGCGACCGCTTCCATCAGAAAAATCTGATTGGAAGAACAGTGAGGAAAGATATTTACTATTCTTTTTTTATTATCTTAATCATTCTTAACATACTGTCAAAGATTTACAAGAATACGTTCGATTATAATATAAAATTTGAAATCGGTGAGATTTAAAGTTCACCTATCATTAGTCGCTAGCTCGATAATGAGATTTTCCCGGCGAAATGTGATTTGTGACTAGCGAGTTAAGAAGCGTGGACCAATGACAATTATCCACCTGAGACATTAATTTAGATAAAAGCCGGTCTCCGCGGATTTGCGCCAGATATTCAGCCGATATTCATTTTTTATTCTGCGGTTAATTTAATTTAATTTTGCTTCTCTTTAGATTCTCGATTACCATCTCTGCGCTTTCGCTACGAGAAACCCGTGCAGCAACCAAGTACGTGCGCGAAGTAATTCTCATCGCCGCGATTCAAATGTAGTTTATGTTCGCCTACGTATCTCTCGACCGTGTTCCGCAAGTTCGTCCTCAGCTTACTGAAAATCGCGCATTCGTATACAAGTATGCATTAATTGTGTAAGAATATTAAAGTTGTTGACATCGTTATTACAATCCGCTCTACATTTACTATATGACGAAATGAATGACATATCTCCCTCTACCAAACCAGGGTCCAGCCCTGCATACAGGACTAATGTGATGTAATGTGGTATATATGCTCATATGTTGGACTTGCTGTATTTTACAGATGTGTTCAATCGTGTCATTTTATGGACGGATATTCTTTTATCTCAACATATTTCGCATGGATTTCTTCGTTTCTGGCGTCATTAATCAAGATTGCTATGGCGCAGAAACCGGAGACTCAAGACACTCGTTTTTAATGATCCCGACTTAACGGTCGCCGCCAGGACTAACGTTAGCTTCGCACTTCACGTAGAACGACATCGCGCGTGGAACGAGGCACTCTCAGAATAACGATGTTCCTGATATCGACTCGATAACAGAATCGATGGTATGATTTATCGAGACCGAAAGCAAGCCACGTTCATAATGAACATGCGATCAAATCTACCACGAATACACTACGATCAATCCGAGGTTCAAATTCGGCTCTCGTGAGAGACGATGCGCGACCCGGTTATATTTATATTTATAGCATGCGCGCGTTTTAAAATGAACCTGGAGGAGCGACGAATCCGTCTAGACGGAAAATGCGCGACCCTGAATGAGGTACGCGCCGAATCCGAAAGTCCCTTCAGGTATTTCCAACGCGCGCGCGTTCGCAGCGTATACCAACACATCCTCCGCGTAAGCAGCACGACGAATTTTAAGCGTGGGATCATAAACTCCCTCTTCTCATTAATCCTACCGTTCTCCCACCCTCCGTTTTGTTTCTCTCTTTCTCATTCTATCTCCCTCTCTCCGGCGACTCTCTTTTCTCGCACTCTTACTACTTTATCACGCGCCATGTATCTTGCCGCGCGATAGCTCAAGCACCATAACAAAGTGAATAACTTAATTTAGAGCGCGGGGACAATTAATCTTGCGCCCCATCTTGCGCGCTCTTTTTCACGATTCAAGTGTTTCGCGAGACGACTTAGCAATGCACACCCGAGAAGGAGGACCTTCTTCAGCTTCCGGCGCGGAAATACTGTAAATCGCCATGTCGGCCGTTCCCGCTCTTTTCACATCGAAAATACAACTCGGTTAACGCGCCAAATTAATCGACGTCTGGTCGATACGTATTTCTACCTTCTCACGGAGCGCACGCTTCTTTTTATATCGGTCCGTCGGACCTCGGGCCCGGCGAGAGAGGGTGAGATCCGAGCGCACGCCTCGTTTATCGTCGCCGTGCGCGCGAGTGAGACCCGACGACTCGCTTGAGTTCGACAAATTTCCCTGGTGCTCCGTTGTCGCGTTTCAACGAGATACCGAACAATTTAGCGCCGCTCGCTCCGAGCGGACGTATCGGTTTAAAAATTTCGCAGTAATCCTGGTGTCTAGCAAGAGAGAGAGAGAGAGAAAGAGAGAAAAAGAGAGAGAAATTAAAAAAGGGCCGCAATTAATTAACCCCGCTCGTTGTTCTAACGTCCCCGCGATAACGGCGCGGGTAAAATTAACCGCCCGGCTACACACCCTCGACCGCCGTCGTTCCTTCGTTATAGCTGGTCACCGGCCGCAAGACGCGTACCTTCCCGCGCGCCAAATTGACGTTGATAAATCCTCTTTGTTATAAAGCGATACATCATCGGGCCCCACGCTTTTCTGCTCCGCTCGCGAACAGCAGAGAGAGAGAGAGAGAGAGAAATCGAAGTTATTCAGAAAATTGTCGTCGGGAGACTCTCGCCCGGGGTGTGCTGGCAAATACTATTAAAGTGTCGGCACCTCGCCCGCTTGTTCTCCTTTCCCTTTTTCTTTTTCTCACTCGTTCGCTCGCTCGTTCTTTCTCTCCGGATAATGCGAGTGGTTTTCGCATCGATAGGTTAAGCTCGCTGTGAGACGGCGGAATTAATATTTATATCCCCCTTACTGCTTTCCCTTTTTCCTGCTCTCTCTTTCTCTGTCTCGCTCGCTTGCTCACTCGCTTTATATCCGGAAACGTCATACTCCATTTCGCGCGTCCTCTGAATTTTCCGGTCGATGCGCGGGAAATTTTGCGCCCCGGGTGCGTCGAACCCCGAACGCCCGGAAAAACGGATTTAAACGCGCGTCTCGCGCGCGCCCAACCGTGACGCGGGAATGCGGAGGTGCGACGTGACTGAGAATTTATAGATGTGAATAAGGCGATATCATCGATAACGGCGCAAAGTGACCGCAAACGATGGTTTTGCGAATGCCGGGTACGCTCCGCGAATCCTGGCAAATGTTATCCGCATATATACGCACACATACCTGCACCCGTCCATCCACTTATACACACACACACACACACATACACACTACAGCTACACACTCATCGAGCTTCGACGATAGTATTTATAGGGACCATGCATTACGGAAGCTCATTGATTTACGACGCGACGCGACACGCCACGGCACATAAATGTCACAAGTCGCATGAGCGAAAAATATCCGGCCGCTCGTCCGTCCTTTCTCGCCGTTCTTTCGGGGATGATTCGTACATGTCCAATCACGAGTCCGTGATTACTTGCGAAAACGGCATGCTGTCGATGCGATGAGAGACGAGAAACAGAACGTCCAGCACAAACTCTCGAATAACGTTAATCAGAGTAAAAGACGTATTCGTCCTTTCCATTTCGTATGTCTATCTTTTTATCTATTTTCCTATCTATCTGTTTTTCACCTCTCATCTATCTCGTAATAACGGTTATTGATTAAATATGCAGCCGCGACATTTTCATCTGACGCCGAGTTATTCCGATGCGATAAGCATACATAATGAAATTAATCAAAGCCGATTTTTGTCCCGCTTCCTTCTTTCTCTCTCGCAGCAAAATCCCCATCGGTTACTATTCGCCCGGCGGTTTTATTTCCGCTCGATAATTCATGGTCGATTACAAAATTACTGTGCGTGCATACGCCTCATATACCACAATCGGCCGTAATTTCAACGTTATCGCGAATTTACTCACGGATAAAGTGCGCACCCTAGGGTAAAACGAGGATTGCACTCGTATTTTGCAATGCGGCGGTGTCTTGCCGGCTTCCGACGATTATTATTACTCTCTTGGCGCGCACGGCGCAAATCGTCGGTGTAATAATTCCTTTTTACACGAAAGAGGAAAGAAGGAAAGGGCGAGATGGCCCGATAAAGTGGCGAATTTTCCGGAGGAAGCGAAACTACGGCTCTTCGGGTGTTCGACGAAGCCCATGCCGGGCGAGAGGAACCGCCGAGTATCCATTTGCTCAAAATTGAGTTATACCGAGCTCGGTGCTCTTATCGCGTAGACTCCGCGTGTTACGGACGGAAACACCGCAAGTTTCGATAACCCGCATGCAACTAGGAGGCGCGCCACGTATTCTGCTTGAGACGGAAACCTCGCCTGGGCTACCAGCCGGTATCCTACGAGTTTTTCAATCCTCGACGAAGGGAACAGGAGGAGGAAGAAACCCTGCTCTTTCGCCGGATACGTGGATTTTCTCGACTAACACTTCTCCCGATTCGATCGTGCGGGTAACGTTCTTATCATAAGTGAAGTACCGGGCGAGACGGGATCTTTCGACGTGTTCGGCGCGCAAGGAGAGAGCAATTCGTTCTCTCTCTCTCTCTCTCTCTCGTTGTGTTTCCCTTCTACTCTCGAGAATAACGACGCGAGCGAAGGACCCGTCTAGAAATCATGATTAAAGCATAAACCCCGCGCACATCCTTGCCTCGCGCAAGGAAATTTGATACTTCGCGGATCGCGAGAAGTTATTCGTGTGAATAATTCATTCGCGCGAATGTGGAACCGCCGCTGCCGCAATTTGATCGCCCCCCCCCCCCTCTCTCTCTCTCTCTCTCTGTCTCGTTCACCTCGGGGACGCTTTCCATTCCGAGAGAAAGAAACTCGCTTAATCGCGCCGCGACCACCACCTCCGTCGCCTCCGCCAGCGCCGCCATCGTTGCCGCTGCCGCCGCGTTAGACAGCCCAATTGCCGGAGTAATATTTCAGGCATTCTAACCGTCGCCACCGGCAATAAGGCCGCCTTGCCTCCCCGACGTTGCCTCCGCCGCCACTGCCGCCGTCGCCTCCGCCACCTTCCCCAATTTCCACCCCCTGAGTTACGGCTCGGGACTAATTTACATGACTTGCACCGAACTAATTCAAGCGGCGGTCGATAGCGCCGACTAAA